TTGCGGGCACATCCCCAGTGGGGAGTGTGCAGGAGGCAACTGATCGATGTTTCTCTCTCATCGATGTTTCTAGCTCTCTATCCCTTCTCCCTTCCTCTCTGTAAAAAATCAATAAAATATATTTTTAAAAAAATAAAATAAAAAGAAAGTAAAGACCACCATATATACATGCCAATCATTAAGAACATGCGTCCTATGTGTGATTAACCATCAGCTCCTGACTATGGGTTCTGTGGATGGTTACCGACTTCTGCGCATGGACCATGAAGTTTCAATCGCACTGTACGGGCGCGCCCGCACGTGGTATTTTGTGGAAGAGCCACACTCAAGGGGCCAAAGAGCAGCATGTGGCTCGAGAGCCGCAGTTTGCCGACCACGGGTCTAAGAGGTTGCAGCTCTTTATAAGGAGGCCAAACCAGGAGGAAATCCAAGGCCAAGCCTAGCTCATTGCCATGTTAAATGGGAATGCTTTATGGAATATTTTAAATTCACTCTGCTAGATACCATGGGCAGCAAAGAGAGAGGACATATGGCCCGGATGGGGTGAAATGATGCTAGGACAGGTGCATGGCTCTGCGGCTGGGACAGGTCAGACCAGCCACCTCCAGAGAGCAACTGGGATAGAAGAACGAGGGTGCGTCTGTTTGGGGTGGGGGGAGGGCAGGGGGGGGTCATGGGCAGGCCCGGAGCGTGGTCTCACCTTGGCCACTTGCCCCCGCAGGTCGTGCAGCTCGCTCTCCAGCGTGCGCTTCTCGCTCAGAGCAGTGCTCAGCGCAGCCTCCTTGGAGTTGAGCAGAGCCTCCAGGTCCTTGAGGCGGGCCTGGGCGGCCATCAGGTCTCCCTCCTTTTTGCTGTTGCTAAGGAAGCAAGGAAGAATGGGCTTAAGGGGAGGAGTCTGTGTCCCTAGAGAGAGCCAGGTTCCCTAGAGAGAGAGAGCAGTCACTTCCCCCAACAGAGGTCAGTTGTGGGGCCTGGCTCTGCTATCCCTCCAATTGCCAGCAGAGGGCATCCTGGGATTTGGTTTGTTGGCATCTGCCTGCCTGTGGGGCTGGACTCCCACTTCCACCAAAGTCCCCCAAACCCCTTTCCTGCTTCTCCACCCTTCCCATGACTCAGTGTTCAGGAACGTGCCTGGGGCCAAGGGCAAAGCTGGATCCCGTGAGATGAATGCATATGCTTTTCCCTTTCTCCCCTCCTTCCCAAAGAAACAGGGCCACCTTTGTCTCTCACCCCTTCCCACACTGGGGCCTTAACCTTCTCCTCCCTGACCCCACCCACCTTTCATCCAGCCGAGCCTTCCCCCCAGCAGGGACCCAGACTCCCAGCCCTGCGGTCTGTGCATCCCTAATGGTTCGCAGTTTGAGCGCTAAAGGTGTTAGTCACCCTCCTCTAGTCCCGTTTACACTCTGGGGGCTGTGGAGTGAGCCTGGTTAGAACTCAGGGAGGCCTGGGATGAGGACAACCAGGCGTGGTATGAACCCTTCCCTTTCTCAGACTCAGCCTGGGTCCTGTGATCTGGGCAGAGCACGGGGCTTCCAGCCTCCCTCCTTCTGGGCCTCCTCAGAGCCTGAGCGAATGCTGATCCCTATGTGTCGACCATGAGCCTCGGCATCTGGCTCCAGATATGACCTCCCCACTCCTCACAGCAGGTGAAGCTTCAGCTAGAACCGAGCACACAGGTTGCCTCTGCCCCCCCCGCCGCTGGGTCCTGTGATCTGGGCAGAGCACGGGGCTTCCAGCCTCCCTCCTTCTGGGCCTCCTCAGAGCCTGAGCGAATGCTGATCCCTATGTGTCGACCATGAGCCTCGGCATCTGGCTCCAGATATGACCTCCCCACTCCTCACAGCAGGTGAAGCTTCAGCTAGAACCGAGCACACAGGTTGCCTCTGCCCCCCACCCCCGCTCCCCTTTCTGGGCCCCTGGTGATTTTTGCTGGATAGTGAACTGGAAAAATAGAGGGGTCCTCTTTTCTTAAAAACCCCTGGGGAATCCAGGAACTCTCCGGATGTTCTGCCCTTTCACCAATGTCTGGTGAAAGAAAGGGTTCAGACGCAGGGGGTGGGGGCGAGCCAAAGGGCCGGGTCCCAGCTGCCATCTGTAACACATCAGGCCTTCAGCACAAACCCACCACAGCAGATGGAAACAAGAAAACCCAACGTCGGCAGGGGGAAAATATTCTATCCTGGAAAGGGAAAAGGTGGCCCTGCCAACATTTTTCTCCGGCCACAAAAGCGCTAAGCTCCACAACAATCCACTGTGGAGCAGGAGGGAGAGGCCAGACTAGAGGCCGCGCTGGAGGGAGAGGCCAAGACCCAGGCAGCATTCTGCCGCCTTCACAGATTCAAACAGGAGTCACTTCCCCTTCCACTGGGCTCCGCTGGGAGGGGACAGGGTGACGTCCAGACAGGCCCGGGAAGGATGTGAGCCCCTGCGGGGAGCACCCCCAGCCGGCATGCTTGCTCCTGTCGAGGCCTCTGGCCACACCTCACAACAAGCAGTTGAATGCCACAGCGTCTGTCTCCTGTGAAAGGAGGCCCTCCCAGAACTGGAGGAGGTCTCCCCTCCTCCGTCTCAGCCCGAAAAGCTAAAAATAAAGTCAAAACCCAGCTCAGGTTTTGGCCGCCATCCGGCCCAGCCCCTGGCTGGGAGCACAGCCCCAACTTTCCATGACTTCAGAACTTTTCCGAAGCCGAGGCAGCTGTAGGGGGAGGAGGGAGAAAGAAGAAAAACCGCTGGTAAAGTGAAGACGAGGCAGACAGATTCCGAGGGCCTTGACCTGACTCCAAGACTGGCTGGGGCTTCCCAGAAGCGGCCTCTCTACCCTGCGGGCCAACAGCTGCCGCTGGCCGTCCTGGGAGCTCTCAGGGTGCAGGGAACTAGAAGGAGTTTAGAGTGGGTTCAGCTCAACCCCCTCCTTTTTCAGAAAAGGAAACTGGGGCACAGAGGAGGAAGGCAAAGGCCCAGTGTCAAGCCCTGCCAGCCGCAGCAGGGACAGGCTCACAGGAGGGCTCCCCCTCACTGCTTCCTAAGCCCTAGGCCTAGCGAGAGTGGAGCTGGCAGGAGGGGGAGGGCTCCACCCAGCCAGCTCGCCTGAGCTGGGGAAGCCGGAAAGAGCGATGCCTGCAGAAGGCATCTCAAGGGCATCTCTTCCCTAGTCCTGCTTCCTGACCTCAGACTCCAGGCTCTAGTTCTCCTTGGAAATGCCCTCCCTGTGGCAGACCTGACCGAGGAGAGCAGAGGTACAGAGCCCCTGGCAGCTTACAGGTGAACAACTACGAGAATTTTCCCTTCAGTCTAACCTCTTCCCTTCCTACTGCTCCCAAAGGCAGGGTGGTTAGAGTCACAGTAATATCATAACAGCAAACACATATCGAGCTGATTATGTGCCAGGAGCTGCTCTCAATCTTTCACTGTTAAGCCAGTCTTCACATGGCATGGCACGGGGCCTGGGGCAGGACGCGGTAGATGCTACAAGGTAGATGCTACTACTACGTGACGGAGGAAACTGAGGCACAGAGAGCTGAGTCCCGGGTCTGAGCAAGTCAGTTCACAGTTGGTGGCTGTGCTGCTTCAGCACCTGCCACAAAATAATGGCCCCCACGAAATTAAGGGGCTATTTCCCGTGCCCTCCTGGAGAATTAGATGATCGCCCGAACCAGGTGCCATTAAAGGACCACGCCACACCCTGCAGATGAGGAAAACCATGAGCAGAGAGGGAACTGAGGAAGGGCCGCTGCGGTTTTCTCAGCTGGGCTCGGGGAGCTCCCATCGGCGGGGAAGAAGCCACTATCACTCATGCCTCATGACTCAGAGCCCGGGAGCTCTGTGGTTAGGAGCCACACGCACTCCCTCCTCCCCAGGGCTGCCCGCCCCCCCCCCCCCCCACCCCCCCCCACCCCTC